GGCGTATGGTCCCCAATTAAATGAAAGCGAGTGCCTAAAATGTTAAAACAGTGAGCGGAACTAAAGAAAATGGAATTTTAAAAGGAGATCAGGGGTTATGAATCGTACATATCACACATAAGACGTAAAAAGGCAAACCATATCATAAGTGTGATACCAAAAACATGATACACCGGTACCGTTGGCCTAGTGGTTAAGGCGTCCGCCTTCGGATCGGGAGGTCGAAGGTTCGAGCCCCACGGGGAGCGTTAATTGAAGGATGAATGTTTCTCGTGGGACTCGTTCCGAAATGGCCACTTCGTGAGCCGCGAGGTAGTTAAAATGAATGGTTACCGATTTCTATCCGCCTGGCGCCTGGCATAGTGGTAGGAATTGGGAGGTACATGGTATGCAACCAAAAGGTGTCTCATAAGTCAAAATGGCTGGCCCTTTCAGTAGGTGTGACACTATAATAAACAAGACCTTTACCTTTACCTCTTTACCTTTTAACATGACGAATTATCATAATTCTGACAGGATATACAACAGTGACGTTTATTATAATGTGAATGAAACTGACAACAGCAGTGGCACAAGTATTTAATATATTCGTACATATAGTGATGACACTTTAAATTTACATATTAACTAGGTCTATCAATTTAATCAATATCCTTCCAATTTAAAAAGCATATTTTTCAACTCCTAAATATAGCATGTCGTATTTATATATCATAGAATAACATAGAAATTCAATAACTTAACTTTAAAGTCTAGGGGTTTAAATTTAGCTACCTTTGTTTCCTTCACAGGTGAATCTCAAAACATACATAGTAATTGTTTTTGACCTTGGAAAAAAGTGTTCAAGTAAATATATATATTGACAAAATATATGGGTAGAACCACCGACCTTCCATAAGCCAGCTGGATGGCTTCCTCACATGAAAGATTTCGACCCGAGTGAGGATCGAACCTACAGTGGTGAGGGACCTGTGATCTTAAGTTGAATACCACTCTTAAGTGAATTTATATATGTATATGATTATGCTAATACAACAATTTTCAAACATCGAAGAATATGTAAAAATATATATTGCAAATATTGTATATATTAAATGTAATCATTAAATTATATGCATTCATTACAAATTGGAAATTTTGACTTACAATTTAGAGAAAACAAATTTCTAATTACCTCCCTTTATTTACATGAAATATTGATTTTTGTAATATCTTTACAAATAATGCTTTTTGGAACTTACAATATTGATAAATCTTAATTTTAACATCATAATTATTATTTTGTATATATAAAACCATACAGGATCTTTAAGATCTTGTCAAAAGCATGAAGATAAATAAGTCCGTCGACATTTATTGGTAAGTGTTAACTTCATTACTATATTTCGTCAGTATTTTATCAACTAGTTAGTTCTTGCATAATTTGTTACATTATATAAGGCCCATAAATGATCAAAAATTCTTCGTTTCAAAAGCTTTTCATTTTTGTTATCCTGTAACAATTTCATTAAAGTTACTCTTTGGCTATATATCTGAGCCATTGTTTGATTTTTTTGCGATTTGGTTATTACTACCATTGTAATGATTTTATGTTTTTTTATGGAAGCCGGAATACCATCTTGTAACATTAACTTCTTTAATAGAAAATATTTCACATTCAGGGCTATTGTCTACTAGTTGTAAGCCATTCACATGCTCTAAATTTATTAATACAGCATTATAAAACACATTTTGCCCCTTACTATAGTTAATGTGCCTTTAAAGCAGTGCACAAAATCAAATTACAAGCCATCAGGAAGTAATTAAAGCTTTGAATCTATCTTACGACATATTTCGTAACTAAGCTTTTATCTGTAAGATTATTTATTTTGTCAAAATTAGATAAAAGTTTTAACTGTCGCATCAAAACGGAAGTGTTATGTCTTTACGTCTGTTAATTGTAAAGGTGATAGTCAAATCTTATGTTTCATGAAAATGGACCAGGATGCTATTGAATCTGATATTACTGAACCCAGTTTATGGAGGGATACTGTTGCATATGAAAACACCACAATCGTCTCTAGAAGACAAAACAGATTCAGGACACAAACTGTTGAAGATTCGCCTTATGAAACACTTAAATTAGAAAATTTAAGTAAACCTAAAGTTGATACCGGAATTCAGGAAAATAACTTAAAGCGACTAAAATATGTGATATATACCATGGCAGTGCTGATAATTGTTCTTTACATTTCACTTATATCTTTAGTTATAATCCTGTTTGTGTCGAAACATTCAGGTAAGTTAGTGTTTTTTGTTGTTTTCCTACAATTTCAATGAATGAAATTCAATACATAAATGTGTATATTAATGATTATATGTATACATTTTAAATTTATGTTAGTTAAAAAATCTTTATAGCTTTTCAGTTTAATATTTTAAAATCTATACACAATTTTTTTTCATTAATCAAGTTGATGGTAATTGGACAGATTGGTCAAGTTGGACATTTTGTGACGTAACATGTGGTAACGGAACACATATACGGACAAGAACATGTACAAATCCACTGCCTGCGAATAAGGGAAGTGACTGTATTGGAGAAAGTGTTCAGAGCAGTGAGTGCCTAAAAGACAACTGTCAAGGTAGTGTGTCTAAAGTGTAATAGAAAATATCTTAATTTCAAGACATAGGAAGATTTTTTTTAATTCACGTTTTTCTATAGAAAGTTTGAAAAGAAATATAATGATTTACTGTTATTTCATACTTGAACATACGAAATCTCTTGACATAAAATCTTAAACAAATTTTATTCACGGTTTTGCTAAGACATTTGAGTTAGAAGTTTCAAAAACAGTTCAATCCCTAAACCGACTACCATAATTATTGTATATTTATTTAATTCTATAAGGCAATGACAAATGCATGTGTAAAATACCTGAACTCTTATAATGTGCCCTATCAATATATTTCTTTATGAATCCACCTCCGTAAGCTCAGATGGTTATATTTGAATTGAGAGGAAAAGAAACAACAAAAGTTAGTTGAATTGAAAATTGTCATTTTAATGATAAAATGACGGATAAAGTGAAAATATAATATTGCATAAAACAAATACAATGTGACAAGAAAGAATTCAACTATAAAAAGTTTTCCTTGAAAGACAAAGTTTGGGGGAAAAACCGCCATAATTGTGAACAATTTTGATAAAAATTGTGAATCAATCCCCCAACCAATCTGAGTGTAGAGGTGGTTGATAATTAAGGTTTTATAAGCGCAATAAATGATTTAACATAATTAAGTTGAAGATATCTAGAGTTCGTCTCAAATACATTTTAAGATATCAGCTGGCATACAGCTCACAAAGTAAATGCTAATAAATTCCTAACTAAGACAACTATATGACTAGAAAAATAGTTAACTATATTTACACCAAGATATGAAAAATATAAAGGAAATTGTTATACATGTATTATGTTGAAGACATTTCACAAAAAAATATTGGCACATTATCCACATGTATGTAATTTCTAATTGAAAGATTTAAAAAAGCTACTGGAAAGGAGAATGAAGCCGAAAACTCCATCTCTGCTACCCTACTACTTAATATATGAAGAAAAATAGTTAACTATATTTACAACATGATATGAAAAATATAAAGGAAATTGCTATACATGTATTATGTTTTAGACATTTCACAAAAAATTTCGGCACATTATCCACATGTTTGTAATTTCTAATTGAAATATGTAAAAAAAAATACTGTAAAAGAGAATGAAGCCCAAAACTCCATCTCTGCTATTCTACTACTTAATATATGAACTCAAAAGGCAACAATATATATATATATATTTATACATATAGGAAAGATAGATATAAAACTATTGACATCAACCTGTATCTAATTTATTTTGGTGTACTATCCGGCTGCACATAAAAATTAGTTTGCATGAGCACCAGCCCAAAACTGGACGCCCAATCACATGTACTAGCCTGGTCGTTAAAATGAACCTACATATATTTTGTTAAATGACTTTTTATAAGCATCCGCCCAAAACTAGATGCTGATTTATCCTTATGTGACCAAGCCCAAAACTTGATTCCTTAAAATTGGTGTCTTAAAGCTGAATAGTATTATGTGCTTTAGTGTATGTTGTATATAATTGGAAAACCATCTGAAAGTTACCTGTATCTCTTATCAGCAATTTGTTACTATTAATAGATTTCATAACAATAACATGCAAAGGGCCTATTATGTAAAATACGTAAAACAATCTGGTATGTATTATGGAGCGAAACAGTAACAAATAGTAACAAATTGCTGATAAGAGATACAGGTAACTTTCGGATGGTTGGCAAAAAATATGGTGGCTGATAAAATGCAAAATATAGTAATGTTATATTTATAATAACAAACCTATTTTTCATGAAACAGCTTAGTATTTAATATCATTAGAAAGGTTATTTTACTCATATTTTATATATTAAAAAATAAATTAACAAAGCGTTGTCATTTTTTCTTGGTAAGGAGTTAAACTTGGTGCTAGAAAACAATTGAAATAACAGTTGAAAAATAGCTGAGCTTTCTTTTTTAAAAGCAAAAAAAAAGAAAATTCCGCTTATATTTTAAAAATATGAATATAAAGAATTTTCAAATGATATAAGAATCTAAAAAATCGATCCATAAATAAAAAAGTTATAAGAATTTAAAAATTCTGCTGCTATATAATGTATATAAATATTGGTTCTTCTTGCCAACCAGTAAATTTGCTAAATTCTTGTAGCAGGTGCTTGTGATGTCATCGTGCAATGGGTCTATATCATATACCGTGAAAAAAATCAAATCTATATTGTTAAAAGCATTTCCCTTAGCATTATAATGTCCAAAAATATAGTTTATATATAAAAGCATACTCTCCTGCGCATCGGTGAAAAGTTCCACTACCGTTCACTTTCTTATGGAACGTTGTGTATTCAATAAGCTGCTAAGGGAGCGTATTAAAAGCATAAAATATTTCTAGTCGATGGTCAATTGACACAGTGGTCAAGCTGGACCGAATGTGACGTCACGTGTGGCAAAGGAACTCATCAACGTACGAGAACTTGCACAAATCAAGTTCCAGCAAGTACTGAAATCAAATGTATAGGAGAAACGTTACAAACCGCTGAATGCTCAAAAGGCAGTTGTCCAGGTACTCGTATTGCTAGAATATACTTCTGAAAAAAATAGAGAAAAAAACCCTAAATGAATTTGATTTTAAGTTCAACCTGAACAAATTACTTCATTGTATCCTATTTAAATGGCATCTATGATTTTTAAACGCCACAGTTGTTTTTTCTTTAAGGATTTGCAATAGCAAAATGAGCTTTTATTGTTCAACCGTTCTCGAAACGCTCTGTGCTTGCTCTACTCCATCATCTTCGTGACCTATGCACCCTTTTTTAAAGCGTTCGTGCCAATTTAATACTATATGACGTGAAACATTAATTTCGTAACACAGCTGCATCTGTTTAAAGAATATCTAAGGTTTGTAAAAAATATCTAGTGTAAGCGCTTATGTTTCTTAAGGATGATAGGACAGTTAAGATAACTACTAGTATTGAAAAAAGTTTTAAAAAATAAGCTGCATTTCATTTAGTTTGAATCTCAACATACTCGTATATAATATCCATACGTTTGTTAAACGTTTTGTTAAATTACAGTCGATGGTCGATGGACACAGTGGTCAAACTGGACTTCATGTGACGTAACATGTGGTAAGGGACGGCAACTACGGATAAGAACATGTACAAATCCAACGCCCGAGCATAAAGGAAAGGATTGTTTAGGGGAAGGTTTAGAGAGTAGTCAATGCTCAAGAGGAAATTGTTCAAGTATATTATTTAGTTGAAATAAAGAACCGTCTTTAAAAGTTAGGGCAGGCCGGTAAGCTGACAGCAGCTCGGGTTTGCCTATTTTTAAATCTGGTGCTAAGGAGGCTCAGAAATTTTTACGACACATTGCCTTTCCAACTATACCGTTATTTTGTGCACACTGGTATAATGTTTAAGGTACTGTCCGTCTTTAGAAAAAGAACATTCGATTATACAGCATTAACAATACTAATCTATGCCTGGTTAACTATTGTCAACTGCCGAAAAAAATAGTTGGAACGTATTTCTTGATTTAGAAATGTCTGATACTTGACCATGATATACATCTGTATAAATTAAAACGTGTTCAACCCTATTAAAAGTTTATAAGATATTAAAAGTTGAAAGATCACATTCGTAAATGCTCATAGCCAAGAGTCAATCAATGATACATATTGGGACCTTTATCCTTTTTATTATATAGTATATAACAGCGTTTGCCTTTCCAGACATAAACATATATTATATGCGGACACTACTGTTCTAGATTACGAAATATTCGAAGAAATACAACTGAATCTTGATCTGTCGTAAATTGGTATACACAAAGCCATAATTCCCTTCATCCTGAGACAATCAATGCATGATAACTGGATCTAGGCGAAAATTGAAAGCAGGTCAGCACACACGAGACTATTAGAAAATGTCAGTCCTTGAAATATTAATGCATTTTTCTGCGGATAATTCTGAAAAAAAAAGTTTAACATCGGAATCCATTTTGTACACTAAGCGGTTATGGGCAAGTGATTTGAAATCGAAGACATTAACCACTTACCTCCGGAAACACCTTTACTTCATGTATTATATTTATTAAGTTTGTAAAAGGTTAGTCAGTGTTGTAAAAATATGTATGTATATTTTATATTTCAGTATGCAAGACTGCATTTTCTGCTACAAATCCAAATACCAACAGGATTATCAATGGCATTAAAAGACTGACGTTTTCCCGTACAATTTATCAGTATGGCAATGATTTTGATATCTCGACAGGAACTTACACATGCTACAAACCTGGCGTGTACCATTTTTCTGTTACGTTTGTAAAGAAACGGTCATCATCGAGGGTTGATCAGGTTTATTGTCACCTATATAAGAATAGGCAGTCTCTGATTTACATATCGGTTGATCCAACTGATGATGATACAGACAATGGAAATGCTGCTGTATCTCAGTCTATAGTGGTAAATCTTGGTGTTGGAGACACTGTGTACCTATCTGGTTGCACAAATCCAAGCACAAGCATGGAATATTGGTCCTCGTTTACTGGATTTCTCCTATATGACAACAGTTAAAACCGCTGTTAATCCAGAATATATTGTTCTTTACTCGATTATTCTTATTTGCAATATTATGTGTTTGAAAATAACCTTACGTTTTCAGTTGCCTTGAAATATTAAAAGTTTAGTGGCAATGATACTAAATAGTGACCTCATCCTGTTAATATGAAACGAAAGCCGCCCAACAAAGTTTTGAATATATTTTAAAATCAAGTTTTTAGTATATGTAATACATTTATATTACTAAGTATTTCTTACAGTAGAATTTTCAAGGCTTGGTGATAGTACTGGTTCTAACAATTTTTGTGTGAATGAATGCAACTCTGATGGAGAGATGATTTTTTTATTAAACTGATTAAAGAGTGTATTGTTGACAACTGATATACTGGTGCTTATTTTTCACTATAATTGTATATTAATTATGTTATTAACCCTTTCCCCCATGAGCATATTGTGAAAAATGGCCATTTTCACTAAAAAGCCTCCTGTTAAGTCTCTCACAAGTCCAAAATTTTCTTGGCGATGAGGGGGACTCCGCCCCCCTTCAAACCCCCCCAAACAGAAGGGGGCACATCCCCCTTCTGGCAACCCCCTGATGTAATATTTGGATGGGGGACGGCGCCGAAAAAATGGTCACTTTTTTTAACAACATTTCTCAAACAAAAGACAGTGTTTGGGGCCTAAATAGGGCATTTTTTCACTGTTTGAGGCCTCAAAAAGGGGGGGGGCAAAAAGCCGTCGAAACACGCTTATATAAGGGAAAAGGTTAAAGACAATGTGTACATGTTAAATGGATAAATTTGATAACAAAACTTAGATTTTTATCTCAGTTGTAACAATATCATTACGCATATCGGTTAACAACAATCGATAACCGAGTTCTGAATCTACACCTATGTTCGAATATCGAAATAATATTAAGTTTTCTATTTCACTTTATCTTTACTATTTTATCTAAAATGTGAATCTTATAATCATATTAAACTATTTTATCATTCATATATTGTACTTTTTTCTTGCTAAGTTTCGGCTTTACTGTCAAATCGTATAATATCAGTGATCGTGTGCACCAACGAAATCACCGTAATTGCCGTAGCGCTGTCACCGTGTATAACCGCAACACAAGTGTATGAAAATAAAGCAGAAAATGTGAAATAATAACACCGAATCTGTGCAATATACATATATGTCCAAACGAGCAATATGGTAGATGAACGGATCAATATATTCCTGGTAAATCGATTTGAAAATCTAATATTATATATATATTATAGAATCCAGGAAAATGTTTGCTTTTCAATATAATTTGTGATAATGACAACCTGGCTATCATACGGACGACTTCTAGTTTATTTCGTCGATATTTATACAATTAGAGCATATATTACTTAATAATTTTTTATTTGAATATACCCATGAAATTTACCAACTCGTGTAACTAGTAACCCTGAAATTAGCAGGCAATATATGATCGAACCTTTTTTCTGAGGTAACGCAAATTTCGTTAATGTTGCACCGAGACAGCATTTGCAATTGTCTCAGGCATACCGAAAAAAATAAAATATGCGTTGTTGTACAAATTTATAACGACAAAGTACATTGTCTTTTAAACACACAGACATTTGTAGTTTGGGAAGTCGTTTATTGCTACGTTTACATGTTCTTACCGCGTTACTCGTTAGATATGTTGTACAGATTCTGTGTTTATTAAATATCCAACCTGTCTACCTGTCAGTCACAGTCAATCAGTCCGTTCTTCCGCAAAACCTGGATCTCGTGATAACTCAAAAATTTCTAAAATATTTAATAAAACTTATTTTCTATCTATCCTTAAAGGACCTCGACTGAGCACAAAATTTGAATTTCACACATCGATCAACTTGGGGACAGATAAAAAGAAAAAAATATGCAAAGTATAATTATGAAATATACTCAAAAATAAATTAAAAACTGTAAACTTGTGCTCTTCTTTGAGAAAAGAGTATTGAAATGTCAATTTGTGTCAATTTTCACAATTCGTTCAAACTCTACTTCTCCAACTTACCTGACAGAATTCGAGTCCACCACGGTGATAAGGAAGTGACTTCGGTATTTTGTTTTTGCAGATATCAAGCGCAGGCAAATAAGCGAGGTTATAATTTGCTATATGGCAAGGAGACTTTCAATATTTTACCCGTAACACGCGAACATATTCTGAATATAAGTTATCTAATAATACCTACTAGTATTGAATTCAAAATAAAAACATATTGCTACCATTTAATTTTGGCGTACAATGTTTCTAATAGATCACTAAATACCTCATTTTTCTGTTAACGAAGGTTAACGTTTAAGTTTTTAGTTTACACTGAATATAGCGTTTATTGTGTTGTTAACGCGTAATATAACACATTATTGTGTTTACTGAAAATAGATATCTAAACTTATAAAATACATCATAGTATCAACAACTGATTCATTTGAAGTAATGTTCAATGATTGCATTCTTTATAATATTATGATCTTTCATTTTTAATTTAAGTTGTTTTGTCAAAGTCATCAACAACAAATGTGTCCAATAATAAATGAAATTGAGCCTTTTAGATATATTTAACACAGACCTATTTAACTGCCGAAAGTATAATCTTTTTATATAAAGCTCGCTAATGTTCCACTGTAGGTGCGTCAATAAAAAAATACTCTTTTTAACTGCAAACCATTCTTTTTTGAGTTTGTGATAGGTAGAATATAATATTTGTGCCGATTCAATGTTAAACTTATTGAAATCATCCATTTATACATGATAATGCTCTCTGGAGGCTCGAAAAGGATGTTTTTATTCAACTCGTTCAATAAATTAAATATATTACGTTTATATTATTTAACACACCTGAATGTTGTAGGTAAACAAAATTAAATGTTCCAGAGATACATTTTGCTGTTGTTTTTTTTTTTATGTTTTCGTACATGTGTCATTCACTTTTATAGATTAATTATGTTTAAGACATACAGATAATTATCGAAATTCGAACAATTTTTACTTGTTAACTAAATATAACAAATAAAGTCTGTAAAATATATTTACGGAAATTATATCCAAGGTTATTTTACTGCATTTTCAAATCGTTATCACGAAATGAAATTGCAAGTACTGGGTTGGCAAATCGGCAATGAAATAACACTGCACTAAAATAATTTATTTCTAGAGAGTGTTGCAATTGCTAAGTGTAAGCGTTCAAGGGTGTAAATTTACTTGTCAATTCAAACCGTATACAATTATATGGAAGATAATATTTGTCGGTTTTATTATAACTTCAATAACTTTGGTATTAAATCTGCACTCGTTCAATATCCTTTATATATATATAACAAAAAAATTGATGAATTCATACAGAAAGATAATTATGAGTAAGAATGAAGATATTCGATGCATCTACTGAAACCTTTATATAAATTGAGTTTCCTTTTTGAATAAGAAAATGATATATTAACATGTAAAGGATCAATGAAATGTATAAACTAATGATTGATGCATGAATTGTGTGTATACTTGAATAATGTATAACTTTTTTGAAATTTTATAAATTAAATTTTATCAGACCTGTAAGTTTATTATTAACTCAAACCAATATACGTTATGCTTGACTGACTTCATATGACGTTAATTGCAAGATGTGTCGGTGGTTAATTAATTAATATTCGATCGATATATATTTTTTATGGAAGCACATTGTGGTCACATCAACCATGCAAATTGATATTAACGCCTTGCAATATCAGGTGAACGAAAAAATTAGAAATGTCTATGGATCTGAGCTTTAGACTTTTAAGCAACCGCAATGTAGAGGAAGGAACATAAATAGTTCTTATATTTACTTATATATCTTGTATATTGAATGTAAAGATACTATTGAAATCCTTTGAACATTTATGTTTGTAAGTAGGGTATCAAATATCAGTTAAATATGCCTATTCTGCTTCGAGATATATTAACCACAGTATGTTGCTAAGCGAGGGCATGTTTACTTCAATATGTACACTTTTTAAAAGATCAAATCTTTAAATGTTTCATGTTAAATGTTTCATATGTTGTGTTTACGGCGGAAGATATGTAACACAAATCAATCAAGAATTAAATTGATTATTTTGGAATCTTCAACAATTCGGCATTTTCGGAAATAGTACGAATAGACAACAAATCTGATACGTAAATCTTCATGTAAACAATGTTAAAAAAACTAAACTAGAAAGATATGTCCAAGAGCTTGGGTATTTGGCATGTAACATCACCTTATTATCATATAGGTTACAATTATGGGCGATCCCCTTTCAAAATTCCATTTATTTAGTTCCGCTCATTGTTTTCTCGTTTAGGGCACACACATTTTTTTACTTGGGGGCCATACGCCACTTTTCATGGAATGACACTACAGTGTCACATTGAAGGTTCCATGATAACCGCCGTATGAACACATCTGCGGATGTTTCTTAATTCAACATTTCAACATATTTATGTTTAAATGTTTGAATTCTGCTAAAGCCGTGCTAGAGGGCATGGATGGTAACTTATACTTTCCAGTACCGTCCATGAACTGGCTCAATCAAACCGAGCCTGCAACAGTTTACAATTTAGTCTTGTTGGGCTTTCTTTATGGATTCTATTTTTCTTTATTTTATTTATCTTATTTTCTGGACTTGTTGTTTACTTCTTTCGTCGACAAAGTGTCAGTTCCCGTACTCTCTTCTGTCTGATTTATAGACTCTGAATTCTAAAGTTTTGGTTCCGTATACTTATAATGAAATTATTGATTATGAATGCAAATGTGATGGCCTTTGTAGGTTTCCGTTTTTAACAAATCGTTACACACAAGTTGTGGTTTGACACAAGGAAGTTTGAAAATAATTTGTCTTTATACCATTCTGAAAATCTATAATTTAAAACAATAGGGTATTTTGTTTTGTCTTAACCTTATTGATATGTAAAAGATATAAAGATTAAAATAATAATGTTATATCGTTACAACTCCAATCAAATATATTGTAAGTTGAATTATAATCTTTCAAAATGGAATTGGATGATATTGAAATGGACACAAGTAGATCAAATAATGAGATTGTATATGAGAACTTAAAGATTTCGACCGACAATTCCGCTACCGAATCACAGTCAAAGAAAACTGAAGAGGAACATTATGAGACATTAAAATATGGTGATTATGATAAAAGAAAAGTTGAAAGTGGAGATGACGACACTGTGAAGCGACTGAAATATGTGATTTATGTATTGATAGTGTTGATAAGTGTTGTTTACATCACTCTTATCACGTTAGTCATTGTACTGTTCGTTCCGAAAGAACCAGGTACTTTGAATTGTAGTTTATATTTGTAGCACTGTCACAAATATCAAAAGCTTAAAAAATTAATGATGATTTAGTACAAAAATAATTGCAATAATTTTTAAGTCATGCTTACTTAAGTTTTTTTATCTAGCTGCATACATTGAATATATGTTTATCATTATACAAATCAAGTCGACGGTCATTGGGCACAATGGTCAAGCTGGACCTCGTGTGACGTAACGTGTGGTAACTGAACACAACTACGAACGAGAACATGTACGAATCCAATGCCTGCAAATAAGGGAAGTTACTGTATTGGAGAAAGTTTGCAGAGCAGTGAATGCTCAAAAGACAACTGTCCATGTGTTAACTTTAAATTATTTTATATAGAAAATATACGAAATTCGAGATTAAGAAATATAATCATATTATTTTAAACTCACTTTGCTTGGGTAGTTTAAAAGACTTCTACTACTGAACTGTATTTAAAAAAATAATATAACCCAAGCTCAATAACTTTTGCCATTGTTTGGGAGTTCAGATGCGAGGAATTATATCACTAGGACGTAATCCAAGAGATATAATGATGCGCATCCGAACGACAAACAGTGATGTTATCAAGCGATAAAATCACCAATTTGGATATGTTATTTCGATTCTAACAGGAAAACAACAATTTATTGATGCCGTGTCTGATATTAAGCTAAATCTGGCCTGATTAATTTCCGTGCCTATTTTCAGCGCGTCGCATCTTTAGTGTTTACCTCACATGTATAATGATTAGATCATAAATCTTATTATAGAACGTCAACAGCGATTCTATTATTGCATAATTATACACTTTCGGTTCTTATATCTACAATAGAAAAAATACAAGTCTTATTAGAAGTAACCATTACATATACAAAAAAACTTTAGTGTAAGTTGCTTTGCGTTTTTTTTTTTTGTTTTTTTTTTTTTTTTTTTTTTTTGTTGTTGTTTTTTTCAATGTTTTCTTTAAGCATTACAAACTGTACTGTTTATTTTAAAATATATCCTGTTTCTATGAAACTCACATATTGTTTTGTTTCTCTTCAAAATTTATTGTTTATCTTTAAATAAAATTTGATTCTTTTTTTTTTTTTTTTTTTTTTTTTTTTTTTTAAAAAAAACTTTAGAACAATGGAGTTTGAATCTCTATAGTAAAAGTTCAAAATATAAAGGTTGCTTTCATGAAACTATTTTGATATTTAAATTCACAAAATAAAACACATTTCAAATCATATTTAGTCGATGGTCAATGGTCACATTGGTCAAGCTGGACTTCTTGTGACGTCACTTGTGGACGTGGAACTCATCTACGTTCGAGGACATGTACAAATCCAGTTCCGACTTATCATGGACTCCATTGTACTGGAGAGAATTTACAACGTGCTGAATGCTCAAAAGGAAGCTGTCAAGGTATATGTATTATAAAATTATAAAATATAAGAATACAAAAATTGCTTTGAATGTGTTTGGATTCGATCTTTAAATTATTTTTTTTGGAAAAGATAGGAATGATATACATTTACTGGATGAAAAGAGTGAAATTTGATTTGAAATAGGCAAAACAGTCTATTTTAATATTGTTCAGAAACTTTAACTTTAAACGGTAACACTAAAGGTTAAAAAAATTGTATATACAATAGTTATTTATAGGTCATCTTTATGGTTGACAACCTTTAAGAACATGAATGGTGACATGTCCGGGGTCCGTACTCTCAGTGCCTGAAAGGGCGGATGGACCCTCATTAAGCCTAGAATACATACATTTGTACGTACGTATCCAGTGCCAATATTCTGTCAGTAAAGTTATTATTTTGATTCTGGATGACCTTTTTAATTTCAACAGCAGTTAATAGGAATGTACAAATAATGAATATAAATTTAGTATTTTAAGAACGTTTACGTCAGTGTGGCAATACAACGTGACTATGACGTCATTTTCGGCATCATTTCCAAGACAAATGTTGCTCGATTCGGAAAAGAAAATAGCCGTAAATATTTTATTTTTGTACCAATGTCTTTGGGCTATGCACCAGTCTACGGGGAAAAATATAAGCTTTCCACAGAATATTGGATATTCGTTAGTTTATAAGCCGTTTTATCAAACACTTTGCATAACCTTGGAAGTTGCTTGTATTAGAGCGGGCTTCAGTTGCAAGCTATTTCGTTTTCTGGCGTTATCTCGTCTACGTCATGATTAAAAAGTCAGGTTTACAACAACCGGGAGTACGGAAGGCAAAACTCTACCTAAATATGTTCATATTTTTATTATGAATGACATAAATCTTACATTTTTCTTCAATTGTCAATTCTGGCACCAGTTCCAAGTCGAAAAAAAGGACTACAGTTTAAAGCAGATTTTAGAATCCGTTGCAAATGCAAAGTAATTTATGCCTACCGTTCTCTTTCTATAATTATGTTAACCATGAAAAACATTTTATTTACTATACGATTCACATAAACACAAATGAATATTTAAATGATTTTTACTCGCTGCGCTATAAGTGATTTTAAAAGTCGTAACATTGTTGTCTGCATTTGTAAAGAAATTGATTTGCTCTTTAATCATTGTTCTTTCACGGTAATGATTATGAAAAATTTATTTGTGTCATTTAGCAATACTAAACGTGGAATAAAAAACAGAAACCCTAAATATCGAAATTGAAAATGTTTCAGGCTCGGATTGACTTAGCTAGCCTGTCCAATGAACGTGCACATTCAGGATCACTTCGATTTGTATGCTGTAAAATACGCCTCAACGCGGCAATTTTAAAGTCAAAGTTTATTCTTTTGTAAAGAGCTATTTATACGAATAACCATATACATGTATATATATAAAGAACCTGTCCATAGCAATGTTTTAGTATGATAGATTGAGCTTTTTAATACATTGGCACTTATACAAAAGTATTTTTACATCCTGTTTTCATACCCACGGTAACCGTTTTTCGTAAACTGGATATAAATTCGTTAACTAAAGAACACTATTAAACACTATATATTTTATAATTGCATTTATTTCTGTTGATAAACTGCATATCTGACAAATTTAGTTAATTATATCAGTCAACTCAGCTTTATCAGAGAGCTCACCAATATACATTGTAAAGAGAGGAAGGGAACGGAATATTTATGGTTTGAACACATTTAAATCGAGTAGAACTTTTTAACAATGTCTCTTTCAACTGAATAAAACTGATAGGGCTATTTGGGACTATTTCTTATCGATGTGGCCATTGGCTGTAAATGCATGGATTATTGCACGCGGCATGACCTGCAGATGTCCTCAACAGGCTTTTTATAGCATTTTAAGATTTAAAAAAGGACCACACATTAAAATCTAAAACATGATTAACATGACGCATATACTAAATAAGTGAATTATCTGATATGTAAATAAAGAAGTAAGTCATTTGACAGTTGAAGGATAAAAAATTGAACATACTCTTCAAATGTAATCGTAATTTTACTAAGCTTATGTTAGCTATCAATTATTCAATGGACGCATCAGTGTCATATGGACCCCAGTCATAGATCTTGCCGATGTTGCTATTACAGATGTTAATGTAAATATTTATATAATTATTGATAATCATTGTTATTTCCGTCTTTTTGAATGTTTTGTTTCAAGAAATTTGACTGTGATCGATGGCTGTTGGTTTGTAAAATTATTTATCTGTTTACTATTTTCTACTTTGATTACTCCACATGGCGTCCATTCTCGTTCTTATTCATGGCTATTTTGGGTCTTTTTGATAAATAGAGAATCATAAGTAATGCAACTAAGTAACAACACTATCAGATTTACACGACAAAGTTCCAAGTTCAAATTGTGATTTCGTTTATCAAACTATATAGAAATTTATTATACAACAATTCCAGAAAAAATATATACCTTTTAAAAGTCTCTCTTTTGAGGACAGAAGAACCTATTCGTCACATTCACGAGTGTCAGTGTTTGTCAGTTACTCTTTACAAAAATAAACTGAAAAAATACCTTTAGCTTTACAACACTCGCGTTAAAGTTTACCCTTTCCATAACATACAAAAGTGTTTTTTTTTTATTTTAACTCTTTCTCTCACTGAGAGCACATATATTTCTTATCAATTTCACCATTGTGAAATAGAATAAAACACATTTTTCTACATAGGATAAGATAAGCAATACTTTAAACATCTTCAAAACGAAACCAAAATATTATTTTCCGACAGGACTAAATCTACGTGATTTGACGTGCACTATTGCGATACAAGTAAGTGTTATTGCTTTAAGGAACAATCAGTTTTTTCACAATCTCTATGTGAAAGATCAACAATGAAAAACTAAATTGTAGAAAGAGAACTGTAGTCATGTTGCTTCGCATTTGCAACAGATTCTAAAATCTGCTTTAAACTGTAGTCCTTTTTTTCGACTTGGAACTGGTGCCAGAATTGACAATTGAAGAAAAATGTAAGAATTATGTCATTCATAATAAAAATATGAACAGTTTAGGTAGAGTTTTGCCTTCCGTACTCCCGGTTGATGTAAACCTGACTTTTTAATCATGGCGTAGACCAGATAACGCCAGAAAACGAAATAGCTTGCAACTGAAGCCCGCTCTAATACAAGCAACTTCAAAGGTTATGCAAAGTGTTTGATAAAACGGCTTATAAACTGACGAAGATCCAATATTCTATGGAAAGCTTATATTTTTCCCCGTAGACTGGTGCATATCCCAAAGAAATTGGTACAGAAATAAAATATTTACGGCTATTTTTTTTTCCGAATCGAGCAATATTTGTCTTGGAAATGATGCCGAAAATGACGTCAATGTCACGTGGTATTGCCACACTGTACGTGTGTGTTCAGTTTTCTTGTGTAAATAAAGAGTCTAATTAAATAGTACTATTACAAATATTGAAAGATTGTTTGTCACGCAAACAACAATTCATACTTACTATGATTTTGTATAAATTATTATAAATTATATTTCTCCAGTAGACGGTCAATGGGCTGGAAAGCATCTACCCAGGTGTTTGTTTATATTAAGTTTATATATGTAAATCAGCGTACTTAAGAGAAAAAGACGGAATAATATAATGATGCGCATCCGAACGACAAAGAGTGATTTTGAAATATATTATTTCGATGCTCAAACGATATCAACAAATAAATGCTGCCGTTCCTTATTTAAAGCTTAAATCCGTACTTATTTTCAGCGCGTCGCATTTTTAATGGTTACGTCATATATCAAATGTTAACGTCACATGTCTATACATGTATATAGAATATCAACAGTGATTTGATTGGATAATAAAACTCAATTTCGGTTCTTCTATGCTCAATAGGGGGAACTGGTCGTGTTAGAATATTGCATTATGACTGGCAACTTATATTTTAATATGGTGCACATTTCAATATATAAACATCCAGTCAGTTCAGCTATTCTATTCATTCTTTATGATCCTTTTCAACAAAAGTTTATGAAAAATGTTGCAATAATGGAATCGACACTTTCTATTAACGTCTGGTAATTATAATGTTTTTTCCCTACAATAACTTTATAACTTTAACAGAAACAGAATAAACAAAGCCTGAAAATTGATGATCATATAGGAATACAATCACTTTGATTTTGATACGAGCTGTATTAATCTTATTTATTTATATCTAAACACACTTCTTTTACATTATTATTAAAATCCAGTCGACGGTCGTTGGGCACAATGGACAAGCTGGACCACCTGTGACGTAACGTGTGGTAATGGAAAACATCTACGGTTAAGAACATGTACAAATCCAGTGCCTATGAATAAGGGAAGTAACTGCATTGGAGAAAGTTTGCAGAGCAGTGAATGCTCAAAAGACAACTGTCCAGGTTTTTACTTTAAATTATTTTATAAAAAAAGAGCATATCGACGGGACATAGAAATGCACACATCGCATTTTTTCTGAGGAACTTTTAATAGTTATTCTACTGTTCACACTTGCTTACACATACTCGTTGTGTTTCAAAATCTGCAAAAGGTAAAAGACAACTTATTATGTTTTCATGATAATATTTTAAAGATACGCAAGCAAATTATTGTCAATATTTGAATTTTTATCAATATATATTGTTTATAGTTTGGCAAAACATGTATTCATTATTCGAACTTTTCAGGTCAGCATGTCAAGCTAAGTTCCATCTTGCAGAAATTGGGCAATGCGTGATTAACTAATATAATAGTTTTTGTTCTTTTGCCCATTAAACGGATAAAACAAATGCACTCTTGTTCACCTACGGTTTTTAGGCAATATATATCCATATATAGTTTTTTTTTTTTTTTTACTTTTCTATATAGTACTTCTTAATTCAATCATAGCATGTATCTTTGAAAGTTAGCAAATCTTGAAATAAACAATATACTACTTTACTTTGCATAGACTCGGACTATAAGCTTTAGACTTCATAATAATAGGGAACACTTCGTGAAAATATCTTGAAAGTCAAGTAGATATAAACTTATTACATTGTTAACATTGATAAAGAATGTTTCCAGTAAATGGTCAATTGGCACACTGGTCAAGCTGGACTTCATGTGACGTCACATGCGGAAAAGGATCTCGTCAACGTTCGAGAACATGTACAAATCCAGTTCCAGCTAATGGTGGACACGATTGTACAGGAGCGATAAGAGAAACAGATGAATGTTCCAATGACGCATGTCCAGGTCATTGCATAGTACAATATAGAAAATAAAAAGGAATAAATAGTAGAATTTCAAATTCAACCTTCAAATAATTTTCACACAATTATAAGTAAAATCTTCTTATATTTGTTTAAATAAAGTTCTTATGTAATACATGTCTTTGGGTTAATTTTATCATTCTTAATAAAATCGAGATAATCATACAATAATGGCTTCAAGTTCAATATTCTTGACTTGCTTTCATAATGTCTTGAATTCGGCTTTTGTTGAGAAAGAAGTATGCCATACATTTAATGGTAATGTCAGCTTATATACCTCTTAACCGTAATTAACCAATTGCTCATACATTTACTTTTGCCAAGATATGCATGACCTAAACATTGCAAACTTATATGCCGAAGCCGAATATCATCTTACAGGAGATATTTAGGAAATACCTTTACGGGGGCTTCATGCGACGTCACATGCGACGTCAAGGAAACCATTAATCACATGCATATCAAACGTAAGGCATTGATGAAAAGTATTTATTAACATCCGCCGATAAAATTTGAAAAGGGATATTGAAATCGCGTTATCCTTCCGTACTTACCTTAGAAACCATATATCAAAATAGGTTTGTCAAATTTTTTATAAGAAAGAAAATTGTAATGAATGTAATCAATGTAGAAATGAGGCTGATCAACAGAATCTCGTAACTTGGTTTAAGGAAAATGTCTATCTTCAGTCTTTTTCTGCCACTAGTTTGTTAGATTTTCATGATTCACAATAAATATGAATATTGTCAAAAGAAATAATGATAATAAAATACTATCAAAATAAAGTTGTGCATTTAATTATGGCCATTTTAAACTTGCAATGTGCATTTGGCGTTGGCTAATCTCATTTTTAGTCTGTTAGAGTTTAGTAGATCTGTCCTTGCAAGCATGTTTGATTCAATCACGACGCGATTCATATTAATTTTCGTATTAGTTCATTTACGTTTAATTAATTTTCAAGAAAATTAAGTTAAATACGTTCAATTCAACTCAAATGTATGTTGCAAAACTTATAAAGAGTATGAATTTCGCATCAAACATTTTCATTATTTCAAGTCGATGGTCAATGGGCATATTGGTCAAGTTGGACATCATGCGACGTTACATGTGGAAACGGAAGGCAACTACGGACAAGGAGATGTACGAATCCAATGCCCGAGCATAAAGGAAAGGATTGTTTAGGAGAGAGTTTACAGAGTCGTCAATGCTCAAAAGGAATCTGCCCAAGTAAGTAATTATATATTGTATATTAAACAGTTTAAATAAATTGGGACCTTTCACTAATTTAAAAGCGATTTCCAATTAATAGCTTTTAAGTTTTTCACAACATTACTGTGTAGGCAGGTATACACTTAATTTCAAGTTGTGTTTGGTGTCTTTTTAAGTTTCATGTTTACTAACAAAATATTTTGTTTATAAGTAATCATAAATGTAATCGTTTTCCTCTTATATCAATGTGCACCTTTATATGTAACATTTATGACCATCTCTTGCTAAGTTTCATTACGTTAGTAGAGTATCACCTTAACAGTCTTTTCTATATAATCTATGTATTATTTTCATATAAAGTATGTTTGAACAAGTCAATGCTGCCAACACTATTCATGTGTATTATATATTTTCAGCATTCAAGTCTGCATTTTCTGTCAAAAGTCCAAATACCTACAGCAACATCAATGAAATTAATAAACTGACCTTTTCTAATACTATTTACCAGTATGGCAATGATTTTAGTATCTCGACAGGAACTTACACCTGTAGCAAATCCGGTGTTTACCATTTTTCTGTTACATTGGTAAAGAAACGAGCATCTTCAAGAGTTGATATGGTTCATTGTTTTCTTTACAAGAATAGGCAATCTCTGATTTACATAGGAGTTGATCCAACTGACGATGACACAGACAAAGGTCATGCTGCTGTATCTCAGTCTATTGCGATAAGTCTTGATGTTGGAGACACTGTGTTCCTAACTAAATGCAGCGATCCAAGCACACACATGGAGGATTGGTCCTCGTTTACTGGATTTCTCCTATATGACAACAATTGAATTTTGTATTTTTCCGGCAAAACCAAATCTATAGTGTAGAATAATCTAATTTCCAATACAGTGTTTTGGAAATTAACAATGTTTGTCTATGGTTGTGAAAAAAACAAATATTTAGTGATGACATTAAAAGCACTTTTGCTAAA